CAAAACCCCAATAACCCCATAACCTTGGGGGGGTGGGTGTCTCTCTTCCAGGTGCTGCGTGCCCAAAATGTAGCAGCGGGATGGACCGGGAGGTGACGCTGCTCAGGGCCGTCCTGCGTCCCTCCCCGGCAGGGTCATCTCCCTCGGGATTCTCCCAATATTGGCTGGATTTCACCCGTTTTGGGAGGATTTTATTTGGCAGCAGCACGGGGATGTGAGGTTGCTGTCACCGTCGGGATGCCGCAACCTGTGTCCCTATGGAGCAGAATAAAAAGCTCCCCGAGATTTGAGTGCTTCTTCCCATGGGAATATGGGGCGAAACTCAGCCTGAACCAGGAAAGTGAAGAAAACAGGATAAAAAAATGGTAAAAAAGGGGAAATCGCTCTGCCACATGGGGGGAGGCAGAAATCGCCGGTATTTTTAACTAAATCACCACTTTTGGCTATTTTTCCTCAGGAGACCGGCTTCTCTCGGTGGCACCCTCTGCTTTTTTGCAGGTGAAAAATGCTGATTTTTGGTGAAGCAGCGGCATTTCGGGTGCTGTGCCGGCATCCCCCGGCCCCGGCCAACCCGCAGCAGCTCCTCCACCCCTCCCAGGTTGCCAACATCATCTATCTGACGGGTGATTAAAAAGCCAAGCTATAATTAAATAAAAGCTACGTGATGCTGAGCCTCCTGCGCATCCGAAATGTCCCCGGTGAGGTCCCAGCGTTGCCGCGCTCGCCGGCTCCGGCCGCCGTGGTCAGGAGTGATCCCCCCCCTAAAATGGGTCCATTTTAAAAAGCTTTGGGGTTCTGCTTGCTGCAGTCGGAGGTGTCCAGGGTGAAGAGGCAGAAGACGATTTCCTCGCAGGCGCTGGTTGTGCCGCACTCAAACAAGCAGCTGAAAACACCGCCGGGGCAGACGGCCAGGTCGGAATAACCGGACGGCCCTGGGTGCAGCACCCATGGGTGCCACCAACCTGCTTCGTCCAGCGGCGAGGGGTTGAGATAGATGCCCAAATCGCGCCGGTGGTGCCGGTCGGTGGGGTGGGAGTAGAGTAACCAAGTGGGTACGTCACCGGTGCCGGTCGGCGCGGCGAAGCTCACCACGCTGCCCTGGCATCCCCGCGGCGGTTCGCCCAGCGCCTTGCACCGCGCCGAGCGCTCAAACTGCAGCCCGCAGTCGGCGCTGAATGTCACGGCCCGGCAACCCCACGGCGCTCGGGCGTTGCAGTAGAGCAAGGACTGGTGGGCATCGCTCCCACCGATTTCGGCTACCTGGCACTCGCCCGTCTGCCCGCCGTCGACCAGGGCACCCTTATGCCAGCTGCGCCCGCCGTCGTCGCTGTAGAAGACGAGGGCGTGCTGCCGGGTGCAGCAAGGCAGCGGCACAAGCCCGCACAAGCACCCGTGCACGTAGTAGGCGTACGCTGGCACGACCAGGCGCCCCGAATCCAGCTGTACCCCGTGGCCCGGCCCCACGGCGAAGGTGGCCCAACGGGACAGGTCGGCACCGATGGCTTCGTCCGTCACGTCCCGCAGCGGGGTCCAGCCCCAGCCGCCGTCGGCGCTGGTGGCGTAGCAGAGGCGAGCGGCGCTGCAGCCCCTCCAGATCTGGCATCGCTCCGTCTTTCCCTGCTCGACGCAGATGCAGAAGAGGAAGATGGTGCCGCTCGTCGCATCGTAGAGGGGACAGGGGTTCATGGTGCGATGGCCGGGCAGCACCAACGCCGACAGCTCCTCCACCGCACTCCACTGCCGGCGAGGAGGAAAACGGGGCTCAGCTGTGGTCTCGCTGCACCCCGAAACCGCCTGGCATCGCTCCCGGGAATGGAGGTTGCACCTTGTTCCTACAGCCCAGGCTGGTTTTTACCTCAACCGAGGAGCCGTGCCGGCGGCCCCGCCGCAGCACCAGGTACTTGGCGTCCTCGTCCCTGGCCGAGGAGCGCTTCTCGGCGAAGGCCAGGAAGGTGGCGGCGGGGGGGACGTAGAGCAGAGCCGGGATGCGGTAGGTGACCCCGCTCTCCTGCTGGAACAGCGTTTCCCGCAGGAAGACGCACGGGGATCCCGGCGGCGTCGGTGGCAGGAGGGGGCTCTCCCTGCCGCCCTCCGGCCGCTGGCAGGGTGGGAAGGTCAGGCGGTAAAGGGTTAAATGGTTGCAAAAGGGGGGGTGGCCCTCGTGTCCCCCAGGATGGGGGAGAGGGACAAGGACTCACCTTGAGGCAGGGGATGGCCTGGGACATGGTGGCCTCCCCGAGGGCCCCGCTGGGGCCTGAGTGGGGTGGAAGGGCGGGGGGTGAGAGCGGAGCCCCCCGGCGGGGTCGCACCCCGCTGTCCTGCCCGGCCGCGGTGTCCCCGTGTCCCTCCGTCCTGCCGCACTGCCCATGACCCTGTGTGCCCC